ATGGCCTGGAGCCTGGCTCTTACACTGAAGTCGGAGAAAGTGACCCCAAGAGGCTGCGGTCACACTGCCCCCTGCACCGAGGGAGATTTCCGAATCAGGGGTGTTTGAATGTCGCCTCTTTCCTATTTTTGTGGACACACAAATGACACGCTATTTCCAAGTTTCGTTCCCTGAGTCCTTGCAGAGAAGGACTCAGGGAACGAAACTTGGAAATAGCGTCCTTGCAGAGAAGGACTCAGGAGGGAGGCCGCGGACCCCAGTCTTCCTGCCTCTAGGGTCCTGAAACCGCAGCGCGGGGCCTCTCCTCTCCTCTCCTGGGCTCCCCGCTCCGCCTCTGGCCTCCGCCACCCCTCACGCCTGCTCATCTCACCGTTGCCTCCCCCGAGGAAAAAACCCGGTGAAGGGCAGAGCTATTTCAGTAAGACTGGTTTTCCCTCGATCGCGAAGATGGCCACACGGCGATATCGTCCCTAACAGCGGACGAACGCAACCGCCCGCGTGCCTGGCGCTCACGAGAGGACGGTGTGGCCCACGGGCCTGTGGAAACTACTCAGCCACGAGGAGGAGACTCGCCATTTCTGCCAACAGGGATGGACGCTGCGGAGAGGCTGCTGACGGAAATAGGCAGGAGAGAGAAATGCCAGATGGTGCCGCTCTTCTGTGGAATGAGGGGAAAGTAAACAAATAAATCAAAAACCTTAGACTGTCAGGGCAACTCACCCAGGGGCGAGGCGGGTGGTGACGGGATATGGGGGCCTGGGGAGTCACCCGGGTGCTGAGGGAGAGACCTGAGCCGAGGCCCACCGAGTGTCGTGAGCTGACGCCAGCTGACCAGACACATCACTGGTCAGTCAGGCGGTGCTGGGCCAGGTCAACAGGTGGCAGACCTCGCTGAGGGGAGCCCGGGAATGCTTCGGCCTGGCCCTGACCCCTGGGGGCGCTGCGCCCACCCCTCTGGGTCTACGGTTTTGGAAGAATTTTTTTTTTTTAAAGTGTGTCTTCTTTTTTTAAAGATTTATTTATTTGTGCATACAGAACTGGGGTACAGGCCAGAGGCTCAGGGGCGGCGAGAGGCTTCACCAGAGACAGAGTGGGGAGCAGAACAGGCAGATCGATGAAGTACACTGCTGAGGGGAGCAGCGGGCTTCAGGAGAGGTCTGCCGCGCCCTGGGGTCACCTCCGGGGCAGGCGGGGATCGAACTCATGCGGAAGTGGCTTGAGCTTCTTAGTGCTGTGCTTTAACCCGCTGCGCCACCAGGGAGGGCCCAGTTTTGGGAGAATTTTGATTCTGCCTTTTCCCCCCTAAAATTACTTCGCCACCTCAATCACGCGATGGCCCGTGGCAAGTGTGGGCGGGGACCGGCCAGGCAGTGGGCAGAGGCTGGCCACCCTGGGTGGGCCGAATAGCGTAGGGTGCTCTGTGGCTTTGAACCCGGGTCACGGTGCTGGAAACAGCGGTCACGCGCCCCGAGGGCCAGCAAGTCCACCCAGGAGACGCCGTCCCTGCACAGTGAGTGCTGCAGGGCGGGGGTGGCCCGGCGGAGCCCCCCAGGAGCTCCGTAGCAGGAGGACCCCGAAGCCAACAGAGTCCAGCGCCCGCAGGCCACAGACAGCTGCACCCACGCAGGTTGGCCAGGGTCCCCCGCGTGAGGGGGAGGCCGGGGAGCTGTTCCCCGCCCGGGCTGGGGGCCGGGACTGAGAGCGGCACCACTGGGGCTGGAGAGCTGACCCGAGTCCCTGGACAGGTGCCGGGGGACCCCGTGGCCGCCAGCGGGGACCCCGTGAGGAGCCGCACCCCAGCCTTGGAGCACCTACAGTGGTGCAGCTCAGAGCCCGTCCACGGGGCTGCACGCTGGCAGGGTGCCGGGCCGGCCAGGGCCCCTCCAGCAAGACCTGCAGCGCCCTGCAGCCGGGAGCCGCAGCGTGTGCGAGCAGGGGCCGGGCCCGGGCGGCGTCCGTTGGGCCAGCGCCCGCGGGCAGTGTGGGGCCAGGCCTGGACCCCAGGGCCCAGCTGTGCAGACCGCCCCCCCGTGCCCTGCCTGCAGCAGGCTGCCGGTAGTCTGTCAGCACGGCGCTTCCTGGAGACCTGGCGGGCTGGAGAGGCAGTGGGGGGACCTGTGGGGCCGACGAGGCGCTGGCCGGGACTCCTGGGGACTCCGGGTGGGGCCCGCGTGGCCATGTCCTGTTTTCCTGCCTGAGCTGGGAGCTGGAGGAAGGCAGTGGGCCCCGCTGGGCCCCGGCTTCAGAACAAGCCCCGGGGCCAAGGCGCCTGCCAGCCTGTGGGTCTGTGGGGCCTTTGGTCCTGACACGCTTTCCGGGGTTAGGGCACGGGGTGGGCTCCCTCACGGGGGTGTGGAGACCTCAAGACAACGTGGCCTCAGGCCGCCCTGCAGCTGACAGCTGCTATTACTGTCACCGGGCTGGAGGACAAGGGCAGTGCAGAGGCCCCGCCACAGCAGCCCCGGGCTCAGCAGCAGCCGCTGGGCGGGGCGTGTCCATGCCGGGAAGGTGACCGTGATGGCCGGCCAAGTGGGGCAGTGGGGCACACGCCGTGGCCTGGGGCCGGCCGGCACCGCCCAAGGCAAGGGTCAGTCCGGGCTCTGGACCGAAGCTGGGGGCCAGGAGGAGACTGGCTGCGGCTCACAGGCACGTCAGCGACGAGGTGGCCTCTGGCTTCCCCAGCGGGCGGCCGCGTCCAGGCTGGCCAGGGCTGCGGGCTGAGTGCCCCGAGGCGGCGAAGGGCTCGCGCTGGCCTCCGCCCCGCAGCCCCGGCCCAGGCTGTGGAGGCCAGCCAGGCTGGCCGTGGGTCGGGTGCTGAGCGCACCCTGGCCACCCTGGGCTGTCGCCCTGGGCAGTTCAGCACGCCGGGCCCAGCCAGGCCCGGCTGTCACGAGTGGAGGAAGATCTGTGGTGTCCGCAGCACTGTGCTCGCAGTAAAAGGAGGTGCAGGCTCGAGGGCGCCCCCGGTCTGGCCGTTCCCTGGAGAGGGGCTGGGGTTGCCCAGGCAGGTGCGGTGTGGGGCGTGGAGGCCGTCCCCACCGTGGCCCACCTCCTCCCTGCACGAAGGGCACTTGTGGGGCGCTTCCTCCAGGAAGCCTGCCGAGCCTGCCCCTGCCCCCCGCTGCCTCCCTGCGGCCTTTGTTCCTGGCCGCCCTCCTCAGAGCTGAGCCAGCGTGTGCACGTGTGCGCTGGACTGCGGACAGCCCGAGGAGGGGGAAGGGAGGCTCCCTGGCCACAGTGGAGACCCGGTGCGGAGCCAGCACTCTGCACCTCGGGCGTGGGTGGCTGCAGCCAGGGAGGACACGGTCAGCGCCGGCAGCTCCGGCGGCCGAGTCCAAGGTCTGCCCAGCTGACACCACCCGCGGCCTTTGGAAGCCACGTGGCCCCTCTGTGGTCTGTTTATCTGACCCAGTACCCCACTCCGGCTGGCGGGGGGCCGCCCGCCCTGGCTCAGCCCCAGCCCGGGCCGCCTCCCCCGCCCCGGGGCCGGAAGCTGGCCCAGTGCCCGCTGCATGCCGCCGGGAGTGGGAGAGGCGGCCTCAGAACCCGGGCCCGGATCTGGGGTCGACAGGTGGGCAGGTGGGGGCCCATCTTCCCGAGGCACCCCACAACCTCCGCCCCTGCGCCCCATCCCTCTCCCATTGGGGTCGGCCCCGCCCGGAGAGGGCCGGTCTGCCGGCCTGCGGCCACCCTGGCAGCCTGCTCTGTGCGCCTGGCAGGCTGGGGCCCACCCAGCAGGCTCTGGGGCTCCTGGACCCGCCCTCGGCCTGCGTGGGAGCCCCAGGAAGCGGCGGAGGCTCGTCCGGCGAGGACAGCGTGTCCCTGCTGGCCACGCTGCCCTGGCAGCGGCACATGGAGGCACACTGCCACCCGCCCGCGGCCCCGCGCAGCTCCCAGCCAGACTTCCGGCCGCCGCCCGCCGGCCTGCTCACCCTGGCCCTGCACTGCTGGTCAGCGGGCCAGCGAGAGGTGTCCTGGGCACAGTGTGGGCACCGCCAGAGCCCTGGCGGGGCATGAGAGGTGGGCTCAGGGCTGGTGACAGTCGGGGCTCTGGCTTTTGGGGTGCCCTGAGCCTGCCCGGCCGCCCTGGCACCGGAGGCTGGTTTCCCCGGAGGAACCCCTCCCTTCCACGCTCCCCGGGCCCCACAGTCCCTAGGGGTCAGGCGAGCAGAGGGGAGATGGGGTGGCCACGGGGCCAGAGGGTTTGGGGTGACGTCTGCAGGGACCTGAGGGTGAGAGGGAGCTGCTGGGGGCCCGCGAGGCGTCTAGCGGAAGGAGCCCGCCCGTGAGCCCCCAGCAGCACTCGCAGGGCCCCGAGGTGGTGGGGCCGTGAGGGCCGTGTGACGTGGTCCCGCTGAGAACGCCCCTCCCAGGGGCGCGAGATGCCACGGCGCTCTGCCGGACGGTCCGAGACAGCGGCGCGCCACGCCCGAGGCAGGTCCTTGGGGTCAGGCCGGGGTCCCCCGGGCTTGGAGGGCTCAGCCAGCTCCGCCCGCCCGGGCCTGAGGGTTGAACATTAACCCTGAGGAGCCGCTTCTCGGCCTTATCACAGTCACACTCACCGGCCAGGCCTCGCCCGCCCAGTACTGCCGCTGCCCGCCAGCGGGCTCCCGGGCCCCTCCCCCCTTGCGTCCTGCCCTCTGCTGCCTCCCGCTGGCTACGTGGCCGGTCCCCCCTTCCCTGGCCTCCCTCAGAGCACTGGCCCAGGAGGAGGGTGGCCCAGCCTTTGGGGTCAGACGCCGAGAGACACGAGAGAGCGGCCATCACCGGCCACTGCTCAGAGCCCGCCCGGCCCCGGGCCGTCTGGCTGCTTCCTTGCGTCCTTAGTGGAGTGGCCGCACCCCTGCACAGCCCAGGGCCCTGATTCAGAAAGTGGGGAGACACGTTCGCCTCCAGCTGCCTGACCCCGAGCCTCGGCTCCCCCGGCCCCACCCAGTCTCCCAGGGCGGTAAGCCCGGCCTCACCAATGGCCCTGGACATTGCATCAGCCGCAGACTTTGTCATGTCTCCCCGAAGGGCCTCCTGGCGGCCCTGTCCGAGGACTTTGCCCGTGTGGGCCGGCGCTCTGCCACGTGGGCGATGAGCTCTCCCCCACGGCCCTGCCGGCCCCGCCAGGGCCCGCGCGCCCGCTCCAGCTCCCTGGCGCGTCCTTCTGCTCTGTCCCTGCTCTGGGCGCCCATGTGGGGGAGGTGGTCGAGGGGCAGGTGGACCGCAGGCCCCCGGTGGGCAGCAGAGCCCTGCCCTGGTGGCCGGGCAGGGGCTGTGCCCAGGCCGAGCCTCCCCTGGCCGCTCGGCCCGCTCTGCTCGCCCTCTGGCCCGCAGACAACGGCGCTGACAAGACGAAGACATGAGAGCCGGCGTGGCGCATGGGGAGTGAGGGGCGGCCTGCCCCCCCCCCAGGCCGCCAGGGTCGGGCAGGCCAACGCGGGCGAGGCGCCCGAGGCCAGAGGCGGAGTGAGCCGGCCGAGGGGGCGCGCTGGTCAACCGCGTGCCTGCCGGCCGGACGACTGACCCCAGGCGGCCACAGGGCGCCACGAGGACGGCACAGGCCCAGCCCCCCTCTGCCTGATCGCTTTCGGACCAAGCCCCTCTGGACCCCTCGGGGCCACCACACAGCCCCCAGACTCGCTCGCAGAGCCGCACCGCGCCCCTTTTCCAGTGCTGAGTATCTGTATTTTTTTTTTTTTTAAAGATTTATTTATTTATTCATACAGAACTGAGGCACAGGCCAGAGTGTGGGTGAGAGGATCCCCAGAGGCAGTGGGGAGCAGCACAGGCGGAGCCACTGACACCCACTGGAGGGTCTGCTGCGCCCTGGCGGGGATGGGGCTCGCTCGGTTGCCCTCTGCGGAGACTGCTAGCCCTGGGCCCCAGGGAGGCCCCAGCACCTTGCTCAGCGGTGCCCACGGGCCATGGGAGTCTGCAGCCAGCCCGCCCCCCTCCTGTGCCTTGGGGCGCTCTGCCCCTCCTCCCTCAGAGGGTATCTGTCACCCCTCCTTTCCTCCTTACCTGCAGCCCCAGCCCCTCCCTCCTGGCTCCAAGCTGCTCCTTGGAACTGCTGGAAGGACAGGTCTCGCCCCTCCCCCACACCTCCCCGTCTTCCTCCCCGCAGGCCCGCCCCCCCCTTTCACCCCCCCTTCTGGACTCTGCAGGCCACCTCCCCGCAGACTCCCCCTCCACCCTGGGCTGTGTCGTCTCACCTGCTCCTGGAGGCTGGAGGACTCAAACCCAGGCTGCCCCTGGGGCACCGGGTTGGGGGGCCCGGGGGCCTTCCTTGCCCGGCTTTTGGTTGGGGTTGGCGGCTCAGCCTGGGAACCCTCCCAGCAGACCTCTGGCCCCCGGGTGCCCGAGCCGACCCCTCAGAAGCGCAGGCAGCGGAGGGCAACCGTGGGCCTAGTCACAGCCACAACCTTGCAGAACTCACCTTCCCGGCGGGACGCCCTGCAGACTGAGCCCCAGGGGTGCGTGGGCCTCCCCCTCCAGAGCCGCTTGCTCCCCCGTGCTGGGGTGCTGTCCCAGGAGGCCCTGGGGCCAGCCCACCCAACCACGCCCATCGCACACCCTGCCCTTCCCAGTCACCTCCCCTGGCGCCTGGGCCTGTCACTGGCAAAACTCTCACACCAGGCAGGGGCAGAAGCGGGACCCTCACCCGCACAACCAAGACTGCCAGGGGCCGGCAGCTCGGGGTTCCACCGCTGGCGCAAGGCTGGCGTGGCGGCCCCTAGGGCTCGGCCGCACGCTCCGCGCGGCTCCTGCCCGGGGAGCACCCAGGGACGGGAGCCAGGCCCCTCCGTGACCTCCCGCCGCGAGGGACCCGGTGCGTGGCTGGCTCGGGGCACCCGGTGTGGCAACGCTGAGGGACTCAGGCCCCGGAGCCACTGGCCAGACCCCTCCCAGGAGGCTGCTCGGGGGTCACGGGGGCGCCAGCCCCAGGCCATGTGCTCACGGCTTCCATGGGGGGCTCCGGGCTCAGAGGCGAGTCAGACACAGTCCCCCCCCCCCCCACGCAAGCCCCGTGGAGAAAGTCGCCACTCTGACTCCTTCTCAGGTAAGTGCACAGCAGCCAGACTGGTTTAATTTCCGAATTTATTAAAATGATTAACCTCAATACTGCAAGTGCATGTACAAAATATTTGTAAAAAATGTTTTTAATGAAACGTTAAAGAACTTACCTCAAATGCAGAAAAAGTCCTTTTTTTCATTCTTTCAGTACAAGGAATACATTGTGTCTCAAAAGTATTACAACGCAGCAAAACAATTTAAAACAGTGATTTGAAAAACGATTGAAAATCGGTACTTTACAAACACTTCTACCATCACCTCCTAATCCTCACAGAGCCAAGAGTTCACCGATCATTGCATAAGCTCAAGCTAAGTTTTACTGGACGCCACCGCTTCCGGGCGGCCACCAGGAGGGCGGCGCCCGCCCACAGGGTGAGGCTCTGCGGGGCGCTGGCCTAGCTTCAAGAACGGAAATCAGGCTTCCCTGGAAGGCGCCGGGCCGGGCCCGGCGCTTGTGCACTCAGTCGGGGGCCGCGGCCCCGCCAGCTGCCCAGACCCACGCGGAGGGTGGGTCAGCCCCCAGGCCGAGGCCGCAGTGAAAACAAACATCATAAATAAGTCCCTAAGATTAAGCTTCAACAGAGAGGGGCGGAACCGGAGCGGCTCAAGCTTTCGCCTCTGACCCTCTTCGACATGCCCCGAGCCAGGGCAGGAACCGAAGAGGTGACCCGGTGCCTCTGGACAGGAGGGCGAGCTGACCCCCTGGGGGCGCGGTCCGGGGACAGAGGCCCGCAGGGTCCACCAAGTGCTCGGGAGGGCGGGCGGGCGGGCGGCTCCGGCGCCCCCCAAGTGATCCCTGAGGGTTGGCCTGCTCCGCAGACAGGGGCCAGCGCGGCGCCGGGGGCCCAAGCGGCCCCTCACCAAACAGGGAGAAAAACCTCAACATCCAAAAGCCTCATTGGGGTATCCTCTCTCTCCACCTGGAGGCGGCGAGCCTCTTTGAGGAACCGCGTTGCCGGGCGCCCCAAACCCGGGGCGGGGGGCGCTGACCTGCTCCCGGCAGCCCCCCTGGGCCCCGCGGCCCGCAGGTCCCGTGGCGCGAAGACCCCAAGACCCCCGCTGCCGGCCCGGCCCCAGGCCGCGGGCCCCGGCACCGACCGTCTCTCGCCTACAGCCCCAAGTTCTTTGCCCAACGACTCGCAAGGTCACCCAGAGAATCAAAGACTGGCGTGGACATAAAGTAGTAATCAAAAAATTTGCTCATTAAGTTACTTAAAATTAATTTCTCTTCTCAAAAGTGCTTCAAAAAACAAATTAAATCTGACTCCTCTTTTGCTTAACCGATAATATAGTCAAAAAAATCTTTGATATTTCGTACATAAAACAACACGAGCCAAGAACGCCCACTGGTGAGTGCTTTGAACTACGTATTGATAGTTCCTATTTTATTGGCATGGATATTTCTAAACTTAAAAACCTTCCTGGTAAGTTCTTTTAATTTCTTATGACAAAAGTTTCTCACGACACACAAATATTTACAACATACACATTGTTTTCAGTTCTTTACACTGAATTCCAGACAAACATTTTTATAGGTTACCACAGAACAAAAGCTGTGACTCGGGTTTATTTCATAAACTATTATAAGTTAAAGTGAATAGAGTCTTTACTATTCCTTGTAGCATTTACAAGTGCAACAGAACCTTGAAGACCAGACTCAGACGCTGTAGTTCCTCAGGTCAACGCCGCCGCCGCCACATTGTTCACAGCAAAGTCTTGGAAAAATAAGCACCAATCATTCTTGCAAAGAACAATTTTATCTAAAAGGATCGAAAAGTGTTAAATACAAGGTCTTCCATGGACACGACAAGCAATAAATACGCCGCGGCCGCGCGCCCAGGGCCGGCGCCAGCCAAGCGAGGCCAGAG